GCTAGGCTTTACAGGAAAGAGTGATCTTTTTCATACTCCAGAGTTCATTCCGAGACTGGTTTCCTAATGAGGTGTTTATTATCCACAGTCTGAGCGCATGTCTGGAAATATTAATACTATAATTCCAAAAACGATGCCAACTGTCTCAGGCCTTGCGTGTAAGATGATTGTAAAGAGAATGAGGAGACAGGAGGGAAGAGGAGAGGAAAGTGTCTTAGTGATTCTCCTGCTTTGCCAGCACACATTCCTATAGTCTATTAGCATGTGGATTCCAGCCACAGCCAATCAGAATTGCCTGCCAAAGACCAGAAACTCAGAAGACTAGAAGGATATCCTGTTGCAGAGAGATCTCTTCCACTTCTGCTTGTCCCACAGCCACTCAGCACCAGGTACACTTTGGTAATTCTGTCTGCTGATTTCTGATCAGACGCATTTATCAGCTCCTAATGTCTCTCCTTCCTCATTAACTGCCTCTTCCGTGATTGACAGAATAAGCTAAGCACGGACATACAGACATGGAAATGCGTTATTTTTTTTTTTTTTTACCACAGTTAAAAAAAGAAAAAAGAAAAAAAGAAAAAAATGCACAATCTTTGGAACAAAAGAATTAAAGGCAGAAATTTAAAGGAAAAATACATATTCAAAGAACATAGTGAGGTATAAAAAAGTATTCTCTCTTTTTTTGTGTTTTTTGTTTGTTTGTTTTTCCTCTTCATCTTGCTATAGAGTTCCTCTACTAGTAAATATTGCAATAGCCAGGCCTCATGAACTGGGGGGCTGTCCCACTTGCAGGGGTCTCACGTCACTTCAGTAAGGGGCAAATCGGCTGTAGCCACCTCGGTATAAACTCGCCTGTAGTAATTAAAGACACAAAAATATTAAAAGGTTGATGAGAGAAACATTACAAAAGAAGACATGTCCTGAGGAGGGATTTGGAAAGACAGCTTCCTTAGAAGCTTCAAATCAACTGGTTAGATGTTGTCTAGTGCATGAGGTCAGGAAACCAACTTCTGCCTCTAAGATGCTCAGACCACAGCCCAAACATTTACTGCTGACCTGATATTCTCAAGGGGAGAGTATGCTAATGGTTCATTATTTACATGAGTTAGCACAGAAGAGCAACTCAATGAAGTTTAAAACCAAGTCTGTAAATAGTTTGATTTTTTAAAAGCATGGGTCTTGTCTACCTTGACTACCTCATTACAAGCGTGACCTAAAGCAGACCCCTGATCTTACCTTTCTACCCATTACCTGACAATGGAGAACACGTTACTTTTGACCACTATCTCGTGTCACATCGCATGTTTGAGATGGTGCTGGATTTAAACCTGAGTTAATCTTTCAACGAATAAAGTCTATTTCCTCTGTAATTTATAAAAAATACCAACCAGGTTGTTTCTTGACATATCTTTTATATATATATATGGTATGTAAAACTGGGGTTTTAAGTGGGCTTCTTTCCTTTCTTTAATCATAATCTAACGAATTATCTTTTTCAATCAAAAGTCCCCTAGGAACATATTGCTCCTTGGGTCATTCTTTTAGTACAGGACTTATATCACTTGGGCACTAAATAAAACCTCAGGAATTCCCATCACTTCCTTATATCGTACGTCTCCACTTCAGTTCTAAGCACCGCCCCCCACACCCCGCAGGACCCTACTACTGCCTTCCACAGATCTTCACCAGTAGAGATTCAGTGTGGGAAGTGGCAGGCTCTCTCACATCCTTTATGTCTTAACTGTGACCATCGTTCTGCCTCCCTCTCAGACACGGTCATCTGTGTTTCCGGGCCGTTGGCCAGTGACACCGTGGATGGTAGAGAACGTCTGGCACAAGGAGGTATCACTGTGGACCGGCCAGTCTTTGCTGAATCCAGTGAGTCCCGTCATTGGGCCCGGAGGTGTCCAGGCCAACACAAAAATACTGCAGGGGGGATCTGAGTTTGGTCAGGGGGGGATTATTCTATTTTTTTTTTTTTTATTTTAAAAATATGGAACGCTTCACGAATTTGCATGTCATCCTTGCACAGGGGCCATGCTAATCTTCTCTGTATCGTTCCAATTTTAGTATATGTGCTGCCGAAGCGAGCACAGGGGGATTATTCTAGATGAGCTCTATGGACTTTTTGTATACTTCTAAGAAATATACCATATTTTGCCACAAATGTTACTAATAAAATATCTTTCTAAGGCATTTGCTTGGTGATTTTTAGTACTATCTGCCGGAAGGCTTAGGAATAGCAGGGACATCCTTTGGCATCTGCATTTGAAGCAGACAGGTTAAGTTTTTTGAAAAGTTTACTGTGAAAACTGGAGAGTCTTGTGCCCCAGGTCTTTGCGAATACCTATCGGTAAAACTCTGCCACAGGTATGCGTCCAACATCTGAGCCATTATAAAACAGCAACCTGTTCCCTTCCTTCCTCCCGAACAATGTCGTTACTCAGGGCAGACTGTCACTGCTCATTCCTTTCTGCTGTCCTTAACCAGGCCAGGCGGCTCACAGCAGCACACACACAGAAGTGATATGAAATTTCCAGACAGTCCTATTGGTTTTAATACTTTGGCAATGGAAGAAGGGCTGAATTATCACCTCCCTAGATCTTCTGTAGTCTGTAGGTAAAAGTCAGAAGAAGTTAAACGTTTGAAAAAATAAAAGGCACATCTACTTACCACAGCGCCAACTCCATAGCTAGCGGCAGGGGCGAGGGCATGGTAGGGGTCGGCCGTGTACACCCTGCCATAACTGGAAAAAGAAATCCAATCAGGGAGATAAAGGAAAGACAGTGATTAAAAAAAAAAAAAAAAAAAATTAAGGGGTTTTACTGTGCTAAGGACTTGTAACTTGGTCTTGGAATGTTATTAGGAAACTGGCAGAATGGAAAAAAATCTCTCCGTTCTGCTCCTAAAGGCAGCAACTGAAAATTTCTGAATTACTTCTATAAAATGGAAAAGAAGGGCACTGGAGATGAGGAAGAGGGAAATTGGGGTCAAAGCCAGAAACACACAGGGACAAGCGGGAGGGAGGGGAGGAGTGTGAGCCTGTGCGCCGTTGGGTTTTTGGCAGGACAGAGTCCAGGCCGAAGGCCTGTGGAAAACCCAGCTCAGCAGGCAGTCCCGGCGGCTAAGTGCCCTTTTGGAAACAGCGTGGGGAAGGAAAGGGGGTGACGCGGGGCGGCCTGGCGCTCCCCGCCCCCGTCTTGGCACCTACCCGTCGCTGTAAGCGGCGGCGGCGGCGGCGGCGGCGGTGGCGGCGGTTGCAGTAGCAGGCTGTGCGTATCTGTAGGCTGCGTATCCACCCTACAGGAGAGAGGAGAACTGACTTTACACATGCCTCTCCCCCGGGGGCAGGCGAGCACACACCCGCCCACACGCAGATGGACGCAGACGCAGACACAGACACGAACACAGACACATCCGTGGGGAGAGAATGTTTCAAACTGCATCAGTCTGCATGTTATTCCTTAGTGTACAATTAAGCTCCACCCAAGGCAGGGATTTGCTTTGCAATTTGTAATAGTAACAAAAATAAACTACCCTGGAGTACCTCTTCTCAAATTTAAGAAATGAAGATATGATTTAAAACATTTTTTTTATTGAAATATAGTTGATTTACAATGTTGTGTTAGTTTCAGGTGTATAGTAAAGTGATTCAGTTACACACACACACACACACACACATATATATTTATTCTTTTTTAGATTCTTTTCCATTATACGTTATTACAAGATATTGAGTATAGTTCCCTGTGCTCTACACTAGAACCTTGTTGGTTATCTATTTTTATATATAATAGTGTGTCTATTGTAATTCCAAACTCCTAATTTATCCCCCTGCTGCCCTCCCCCCTCCCCAAAATGATGATATGATTTTTGGGTCTGTCTTCGTTGGAACTTTCAACAGGGAAAATACTTACAGGAAGTTGGGAGAACTTTATCTGACAGGAAATGTATAATACAGATTAAAACATTAAATTTATATGTGTTAACTTCAGATTCTCTGATGCGTACTTGGATTGATCTATTGCTAAGAGACTACCGTATATAAAGAAAGGTCCCATGCACTGCTATGCTCCATGTGGCCTAGTGAGTTTGCCAAGAGGCTAAGATAATCAAGCGATATTTAGAAGGAAGAACCAGTGTAGATCAGAGGTTGGCAAACCTCCATCTGTGGACCAACGCAGTTGGCCTGCTGTTTTTGAAAGTAGTTGTTGACAGAGACCATATGGCCTATGAAGTCGAAAATCTTTACCACTTGGCCCCCTACAGAAAAAGTTTGCCAAGTCCAATCTATGCTTCAGACTCGGGCAAATCAGATTACAAAGGGCTGTGGACCCTTGGACTAGGTTCAAACAGATCAGGAAGGCCCCCCCACCCCCACCCCCGCCACCAAGCATTTAACTGCATTTATTTTTCTTCCCTAAAAGGTTTTGGGACTTCTTACATCCGAATCTCACAGCAGGTTCTGGAGCTTTTCTTCCAAGGGTTCAAATATCCTCTCAGTCCTAAAGAGTTTCAACTCCCCAGTCCTGCTATTTTACCTCAGTTTAGGTGAACCAAATACTCAAAAGGTTTTCAGTGTCACGGTGAAATATTTCATGAAGTTTTTCAAAGATATAATCACAACAACGAATGAGACAGGCTATTTGAAAAAGTGGCAAAGCTCTACTTTTCCTTCTTCTTCTTTACCTTTCTAGAATTCATCTATTTTACCTAAACTTAATTCAGGTGTGTACTTTTATTACTGTCATTTCCCCATCAAATATAGGTAAATACAGCTAGGTCCATTTGGACGGCACCTCAGCAGCGAGCACAGCATGTTTCGTTTCTGTAGATTACTGTGTCCTTTTCTCATGGACATCTGAAGCTTTCTGGCCTGTACTTTCTGCTTTCTATTCCTTCAAATGTTCAGTTTTTGCTAAACCTACAAAAGAATTTCAAATTTACTTCTGTATCATTTCTTAGGATTGAAAACAACCATTTTCTAATGGGACCCTTGGTCTTCTTAGCCATCTGACAGGGAAGCTTCTAGCTTGCTGCTTTTATTTCTGTTCAAATCTTATTCTGGAAATACCTGTGATTTCCTCTTGGAGGTTTCTACAGCTTTTTGCTTATTTCTTATATAATTTATGCTTTCTCTAACTGAAGACACTGCGCCATGGGGGAGAGCTTACTCCTGCTCTTTAAATTTATGCTGCTTAAATTCACCAGAAGCAGCTTCAAACATACATTAAAAAAAAGTCTCTGATTGGCTTTCAGTGGTTTTGTATTATTCCTTCTTTGTTCTTCAAGTGAATGACTTGGAAAAGTAAACATTGTTTTCTCAATTATAAACCTTTCCATAGGTATTCCTATAATTAAGAAAACTCTGATTAGTATTACCAAACACTGGCAATGAGATGGTAATGGATAGGGCCGTGGCAGGAAGTACCCTCCGGGGCTATCTGTGATCCACACGCTTCCTCTGAATTCTAGCCAGGTCTATGGGAACAGGCAGGCCAGACTGATTTGGGCAAAGCCGTACATCCAGGCTGCAACATACACACTGCCATACATACACACATAAGCATATACATTTATGTATAAACTAACTCAAGTGTCTCTTTACCTTTTAAACTTCTAAAGAAAAAATGAAACAGTAAAAGGACTGTTAAACAAAACAACATACTAATCATCATAGTTGAAATTTTAAGCTTTATATGAACCTTGAAGGCTCAAGTTTTTGGTATCACTAGAGATGACTCCACTAGTTTAGAATTAAAGTTTGCTAGTGTGAAGTTTACAGAGGGGCCATGTTTAGTAAAATTTCTTTGTAAATGAGGATAATGTGGTAAACAAGCATCATGAGGTTTCTCTCTTTAGCATTCCTTCAAAATCCAAAATAATCTCTAAAAATGGAAAAAGTCAAGGTAATAAAAGCAATTAAAGCCTAATTTATATCTTTCTGAGTAAAACATTTAAAAACTGAAGTTCTATGCCATGGGAAAGAGGTATGCATTCTCATAACAGTACTAACTAGACTCTCAGTTAAGTCTCGGTATGTCAGAGATACTGGGGATTGTATTAAATCATTAAATTTGAGCTGTATTGGACTAATCATGGGGAAAAAAGGAGATTCTGAATGAGGTTACTGATAGCCATTTCCCCTCAGTTTCCTCAACCTGCAAGAAGCCAGTGGTTTGGGGGTAATGTTATTATTAATTAAGACAATTTTAAATGGATCAGGCTGTGGAAGAGAAGGCTCCCTCCAAGCCAGAAGGAAATGAAGATAATCTACCTGCAGTCCCTTCCTTCTGTTATGAGTGAACTCTGACTCTGGAGCTTTAGGATGGGCAGGTAATATCGCAATAAACTGATCTGGTAATTCATTGATGACTACCCCAAAATTAGAAAAATTAAATTGTATGTCATGGATTCCTCCTCTTAGCTGTATTCTTAGTCCAAAGTATTTCTGCTGGTGCTTTAAACTGGTTATTCAACAAAACGTCTCACCATGATATAAGCCAATGAACATTCAGATATATTTATTTCTATTCTGGATTTTGGAATGCATAAAGAATCCAGGCTGAGAAACTGTTTTTTCAACTTTCACTTCTATTAGCAAATCTGAAGTTGTTTATGGAACATGAGAACAAAGTGCAGTTTGAAACACCAAGGGTTTCATTGCTGTTTCTTAAGTTTTTCAAAAGAACAAGGGTGGGGAGGGGTAGGAGAGACAGGGTTCAGGCGTGGGGAGGGGATATGGCGCCACATTTATTAATCACATTAAGAACTAAGCATGCCAACATCTGGAGCTAGAACAACCAGCAAAATCACCACGTTCAGACTCAGATTGGCTAACTCTATCTATCCCAGCATTCTCTTGGGACAGCGGTTTGCCCTAGGCTCTACCACAAGCTCGGTGAAGTACACAGCCTCAATTACTAGAGCGTGCAGCCACAACGACCTGGTATTACGGAAACAGTCAGTCACCACTTGAGTTAACATTCCAGACCCTAACGACTGGCCCCTCCCCAGCCCAAAGAAGAGTCAATCTCACCCACCCTAGCCCTGGCCCACACCACAATGTTAATAATTATAACAAGCAGTAACCCATCTGTTATATCAGAGAAGGGAACAGAGACTCCACTGAGAGATTTAGAGTGAGATGTTAACATTTCTTCAGCTGACTGCACAAACAAACAAACAAAAAAAGAGGAGAAATAATTCATTTGGAGATATGAAGTCATGAGATAGCTGATGTGTATTGCTTTTAACCATGCACCGATGCAAAACTGAAGCAACCATTAATAATAAAAATTAAAAAGGACATATGTATTTACACACAATCAGACCTGTTTGATCTGAAGCAGTTTGCAGATTCTATCTGTGTGTGATTTGAAATAAAACAAAAAATGGGGATTAGCATGGCCACAGCACACCCTAATGTCAGAGGGCACACACGGACAGCTTTTCGGAACCTGACAGCTGGATAAATTTGGCATGGCTAAGCCTGGTCCAAATATCCACATGCCCCTTTAAAAATAATTACTTTCTTACTCCTTTGTAATTCATTCTGAATGATTCCTAGCGCTCCCAACTGGGACAGCCCAATGCTACATCACTCCCCAATTCAACCTTCCTGATTCAGTTCTGACCCGCAGTGCTCACCTGTATGCTTGCCCTCTGTCAACACCCATACATTCTGATCCAGTGTTCTTCCAAAGTATTTCCTGTGTGCTATCCTTTCTCATATCCGTAACACATCCCTGCCTTCAACTTCCAGCTTTTTCAAAGGAAAATGCTGTTACCTTTAAGATCCTTTTGTTGTTGTTAAAGTCTCACTTTCGCATTACCCAATGTCACCTCCTAGGGATTTTCTACTCCACTCTGAACCAATTTTATTGTCTAGTGAACTTTACAGCATTGCCACGCTGACCACAGGATTCTTCTGCACAGCTCTGGAGCTGTGTTTTAACTAGAACAAAATGGAAGGGTTCTACGTATCCTCCCTCTTATACCTGACCTTTCCCTGCCTATCCAAGTTTAATCCTCCCTTGTCTTGATTTTCACCTGGCCATTAATTTTATTATTACTTTTTTGTTTTAGGATTTACGATAAAACAGGACTTTGGTGAGCATGTGATGTCAAGACACCTTCTTTCTACCTGGAAGACAATGACATTATGTGACACTGAGGAGAAGAATGTGTATTTCAAGACCAGCAGACAAGATGAAAGCTTGTTCCCCACATGTGATGTATAGATTTACAGAGCAAGGGGAGTGGGGGGGGGTGGGCGGGTGGGGAGAATGCAGGTGTGA